TATTAGCTGGCCTCTGTTACACTCATCCACCAAACCTCACTCCCATCACGGACAAGCCCCCACATGTAATCCACCGGACCTACTGCACCAAAACCGGTCTGAGTTGGGATCGAACCAGCGATTCTTTGCATAGAAGTCGGTTGCTCTAACAAGGAGGCAAAGGACCATGACCTCTAGCGTCTGTCGCTAGAGCAGCTTTAGAGGTCAGAGGAGTGAGGTTTACTTGCATAGCGTCTCCATTACAGTAGATTAAATAATAACTTTTTGAGTTACAGCTTGTATTATTAAATTGTCAGATTTTGGCAATGCCATCATCTCTGGTAGGTACCATCTTGCCCCGAGAAAAAAGATTGAATTTGTGAAAGTTGGGGAGAAAGCCTGCCAACTGCAAAGGACAAGGTCAGGCCTCCTACACTCAGCCCCTGACTAGAAGTTACAAGTTGACCTGGGGAAGCAGGTAAAGTTCCCACAGCACACAGTTACAGCATCACTACGACCAGACATAACTATCATTTCTGAGACAACAGGACATGCTTGAAATTCCACTGTGCCCTGGGAAGAGCAGACGGAGGAGGCAAATGAAAGGAAATAGTCAAAGAACCAAGAGCTAGTAGAGTAGTGCCAGAAAAGGGGCTGGCAGTCCCACTGTGAGCAAATAGAGGTGGGCTGTAGAGGGTTTGCAGGGCGTTCACTCTGTAAAGTCTTCGATCAGTTAGGCCTAGCAGTAGCAGCTAAGAAGAGGGCCATTACGTTTGTTTGTGAAGCTGCAAAGAAAGCCACAAGATGGCTATCGATAAAGAGGCTACTGGGACGCAAGCTGGGGTCTGATCACCCTCTGTTGAGTCACCTGGGCGAGAGTGTCTGATGTTAAAAGACCAAAAACACCCAGCAAACCCAGGATACATCATGGATGATGTGTCCCAGTGCATCTAAATAATGTATCTTGCACACACACTGAATACTACCTTAAGGACATTGTCGGACCTCCTCCACTCAGCCCCTGACTGGAAGTTACAAGACGACCTGGGGAAGCAGTTACAGTTCCCCCAGCACACAGTTACAACATCACTCCAACCTGAGACAAGAAGACAGCTGATTATGCTCGAACTCGCAGTATCCTGAGAAGAGTGGATGGAATAGGCAAATGAAAAGAAACGCTCAAATTAGCAGGAGCTAGTAAAGAAGTGCCGGGAAGGGGCTGGAAGACCAACTGTGAGCCAGCAGAGGTGGGGTGTGGAGGGTTTGCAGGGAGTTCATTCTGTTAAGGGTTTAACCAACTAGGTCTAGCAGAAGCTGCTAAGAAGAGGGCCATTGAGTGCATTTGTGAAGCTGCAGAGAAAGCCACAAGATGGCTATGGATAAAGAGGGTTGAAAGACCCAAAACACCCAGTGACCCCAGGATACATCACTGACGATGCATCCCAGTGCATCTATATGATGAACGTTGCACACGCACACAGAATACTAGAACCTTAAGGACAAGGTCGGACCTCCTCCACTCAGGCCCTCCCAGGAAGTAACAAGTCGACCTGGGGAAGCAGTTAAAGTTCCCCCAGCACAGTTACAACATCACTCCAACACAGTTACAACTCCAACATAACTATCATTTTTGAGGCTACAGGACAGTTGATCATGCTTAAACATGCTGAGCCCTGGGAAGAGCGGATAGAAGAGGCAAATGAAAAGAAACATTTGAAGAACAAGAAGACAGTAGAGAATTGCCGGGAAGGGGGCTGGAAGACCCACTGTGAGCCGACAGAGGTGGGCTGTGGAGGGTTTGCAGTGTGTTCATTCTGTAAAGTCTTCAACCAACTAGGTCTGGCAGTAGCAGCAGCTAAGAAGAGGCCCTTAAGACTGTTTGTAAAGCTGCACAGAAAGCCAGAAGACGGGTATGGATGAAGATGGTTAAAAAGACCCGAAACTCCCAGTGACCCCAGAATACATCACTTACGATGCGTCCCAGTATCTTGTATCTGAATGATGTATCTTGCACACCTGTGCTAACTTGGGAATTAAGTTTTAAAAAATATAAAAGTTGTATTGGTTAATATATTTACAGCAATGTTTACTATACTACTATATTTATTATTACACAGAGTTAAACTAACATTGAACAGATTTATTTTAATCTTTAACAAACATGAATACTGTAATAGAGGTAGTGTTGTTTTTATGAGTACTAAACAAGTGTAATTAAACATTTTTAAATTTTATTTTAATAGCAATTAATTTATATTTTAGGTTGTACTCCTGGTTTGAATATATTTAGAAATTAGCTTTTAAACATTCAAGAAATGTGAGTTTTTCCCCTTAAATGTTTTGTTCTTTAAAGTTTAATTAAATAGAAATGAATAATATCTCTTTAGCATATTGCTGTAATCAGATGAATAAACTGTTGTTTATTTCAATAAATGGTTTATTTTAAAGTTATTAAGTTAGATTGATGAAATTGGCAACGATTCATGTTCAAAATTGATGTTTGAGTTGTATACACTTCATTTTGTTGTGTTTTTTATTAGTTTATTTCCATTTTAGGCTTTATTATTTTTTTATATTTCAGTATATCAAATTAACCATTCTGTTTGCACACATAAATTTTCCATTTAATACTTAAGAATATATATATTTTTATAACCTATTAATATAATAATATATAATATATAAGGTTATTATTAATGTTGTACATTTAAAACCTAAAAATAAACCAAACTGGAACACTGTAATAAATGTAGTATTCAATATTGTTGTTTTTAAGCGTAATAAACAAGCGTTATTAGAAACATTTAATTTGAATAAAATTAATTTAATTATTTAATATAATTAATTTATTAAATTTAATATTAATTAATATTTGTAGTTTTTACTCCTAGTTCTAATATATCTAGAAATTAGCAAGTAAACGTTCAAGTATTGTGGGGTTTTCCCCTTTAAATGTTTTATGCTATTAAAGTTAAATTAAATAGAAATTAATAATATCTCTTGGACAGCGGAAATAAAAAAATAAAGCTTTTACATTACATTAAACATTAAGTTACAAAATAGATTGATGAAATTAGCAATGATGCGTGCTTTAACTGATGGTTGAGTTAACTTTACTTAATTTAGTGTTTTTTCATTTTAGTAGTTTATTTGTATTTAGGCTTCATTAGTTTATATGATAATTTAGTACATCAAATTAGCCTATTGGGCATTAATCTGTTTGTAAAAGTAGTTATATTATGCTTCATTTAATACTTGTTTTAAAGAATAAAATCTCTATTTGGGAAAAAAAAAACATTTTACCATAAAAGTTATTAAAGTTTAAGAGCTGAAAATAAACTAAACTGGATCACAGCGTCAACATGATCTCTCAATCTAAAAGACAATGACAAATGTCAAACACAAGACCTCCTGCAAAAAAAAAAAACAGTTCCTCTGAATTAGTTGTTTTGTTTTTAAGAACAAAGGCCTAAAGACTCTTAAATAAAGATACATTTACATGAAAATCAAAATGACGTAATAACTGTTAACGTGACTCAAAGGTAGTTAGATAATGATTAAATCAAGGAAGAACAAATCAGTTCAATAACAAGAAAAATGTTTTCATTTCCCACTATCAGATCTGCTCTTGTTTTCAACATAAACATACTTTGTTTCCAAGAAAATACACTGTAAAAATGACAAGTTGACTTTACTATGCAACCTGAAAGTTGACTAAATGTTTTATAATTTTGCATATACACTAACCGGACACTTTTTAGGTACATCTGTCTAACTACTCATTAATGCAAATTTCTAATCAGCCAATCACATGGCAGCAACTCAAAGCATTTAGGCATGTAAACATGGTCAAGAGGATCTGCTGCAGTTCAAAGCGAGCATCAGAATGGGGAAGAAAGGGGATTTAAGTGACTTTGAACGTGGCATGGTTGTTTGTGCCAGACGGGCTGCTCTGAGTATTTCAGAAACTGCTGATCTACTGGGATTTCCACGCACAACCATCTCTAGAGTTTACAAAGAATGGTCTAAAAAAAGAGGAAATATCCAGTAAGTGGCAGTTCTGTGGGCACAAATGCCTCGTTAATGATGCCAGAGGTCAGAGGAGAATGGCCAGACTGGTTCCAGCTGATAGAAAGGCAACAGTAACTCAAATAAGCACTCGTTACAACCGAGGTCTGCAGAAGAGCATCTCTGAACACACAACACGTCCAACCTTGAGGCGGATGGGCTACAGCAGCAGAAGACCACACCGGGTGCCGCTCCTGTCAGCTAAGAACAGGAAACTGAGACTACAAATCACACAGACTCACCAAAACTGGACAATAGAAGATTGGAGAAACGTTGCCTGCTCTGATGAGTCTCCATTTCTGCTGCCACATTCGGATGGTCGGGTCAGAATTTGGCATCAACAACATGAAAGTATGGATCCATCCTGCCTTGTATCAACAGTTCAGGCTGCTGCTGGTGGTGGTGTAATGGTGTGGGGGAGATTTTTCTTGACACACTTTTGGCCCATTAGTACCAAATCATAAAGCGTGAATCATCTCAGACTAGTTTCTTGAACATGACAATGCTCTGAAGTTCTGAAGGCAAAGGGGGACCAACCCAGTACTAGTAAAGTGTACCTAATAAAGTGACCAGTGAGTGTAGTTAATTTACCTAATGTTAAGGCAATGAATTTACTTAATTTTTTCAAAGTAAAATCAACTAATTGCTTTTAATAGCAACAGGTTTAATCACTTTTTAAAGTCAAATGATCACTTTTTAAAGTGCATGGCGTTCATTTTACATCTAAATCCATGATTTAGGATGTTTAGACTATTTGTAAATGACAAAAACAACACGAGGAATATTCATTTTGTCCTGAATCTGTGGAAGGGAAAATAATTAAGTCATCCATTGACAAATCTACATGTAAACTGAACTGAATGTGCTCAATTCACATAGAAATGACTCCTTTCAATACTAATCCCCCTTTAAGACAAACCAAAACAGCAATAAGAAACCAAATGAGGCAGTGAGCGTTGAAGAAAAGAGCATAGCACTTTTATAATCATTTAAATCAAGTCCTTTACAAACAGTGACCGTGTCCAGCAGCTGTTTTGCAGAGTCCAGGTTGACTGATGTGCTGCGAGCCCTTCCGAACTGTCGCCCATGCAGACACACACAGATCACACACTGCAGATATGTTGTTCTTTCATCTCTTTTGCCAGAGATCAGATGGTAAGTCTGACAACAAACAACTTGTTGTTTCCTTTTTACCGTGCACGAAGCGAGTGATAACCTCACACAGGATAACCCGAGCGTGAAACCAAATCACCGTCATTACAGATATGAAATCACTTGTGCAAATGCCCATAGAGTGAGTCTCACGACAGCCCCAAATCAAACAAACAAACAAAGTCCAGAAATGATGCACTAAAAACAATTGTTTTTTTTTTAAAGGAACACCACACTTATCTTGGAAATGGGCTTATTTTACACCTCAAGAGTTAAACATTTGAGCATTTATCATTATATAATCATTATTATATATATATACAATCTCTGGGTCACTTTTAACTTGGCATAGAACATTTAATCGAATAAGACTATTAGAATCTTGCTCGAAAAATGACAAGAGTTTCGATATTATTCCTATTCAAAGCTGGATACTTCTGTACCTAGATAGTGCACATTAAAAAAATATATACACTGGATTTACTAAAAAATTTTTAAAGGTAAATGAGCTGAATTTAAACAATGTTAAACATTACTCAATTTAATTTGCTTGTTTAAATTCAGCCCATATGAATCATGTGCAACCAGTTAACTTAACAAAATGAAGTAAATCCAATAAACCAGAGTACTGAGACTGAGAATGAGAAGTTGCTATTTTCTAGATTGATATGCCTGCAAACTATCCTATCATTGTGGCGTACTCATCAAGAAACTTTACTGCAGCACCGTAACTACAGCAGTGCAATGAAATTTTAGATAGCACTGATCACCCTCTTTCCAGCTCACATAATTATTTATGTCTACAAAGTCTCTCTGAGCTTTGATTGGGCCAGATCTCCTCTTGGGGGTGGGGTTATGCATATTAGTCTGCCTTGGAGGTGGGTCTGAAAACTGTGGTTTGATCGGACCAGTTCGTCTGTGATCTAAATGCCCATTAGAAAGCAGTGCAATGATATTTTAGATAGCACCTGAAAATCGGCTAACCTCCAAGTATTCTAGTTCAAATTGATACGATTCAGGAACTGCACTCAAGTAAATATCATTATTACAAGAAAAGAGACCAGACACTGATCACCCGTTTTCCAGTTCACATAATTATTTATGTCTACGGAGTCTCTCAAAGCTTTGATTGGGCCAGATCTTCTCTCGGGGACGGGGTTATGCATATTATTGTACCTTGGAGGCGGGGCTGAAAACTGTGGTTTGATTGGACCAGTTCGTGTGTTCTAAATCCCCATTAGGAAGCGGCGTGTTTGAAACTCGGCCCACTTTAACAAACTGACCTTCATCCTGAAAGTCGCTCGTTTGACTGTTTTTTCCTAAAACGAAAAGTTGCTTATTTGTAGGCCAAGCAATTATACTATCATTGTGGCGTAATAATTAAGGAACTTTACTGCTGCACCATAACTACAGCAGTGTAATGATATTTTACACAGCACCTAAAAATAGGCGAGCATACATGTAATCTGGTTCAAATATATATGATTCAGGAACTGCCCTGAAGTAAATAGAAGAATTAATAGAAAATACTACTTTTGGTACACAGTGCAAAGATTTAAACGCCTTTTTTAAAGTGAGATGCTAATGGTCTAATCCGATTCAATGATTTATGCTAAGCTAAGCTAAGCTAAAAAAGCTCCAGTCAGACCCAGAGATTGTCTGAATGGATAAAAAAAATCTGTAAAACTCAACGTTTTTAATGTAGGAGAGCTGTAAAATGAGTATTTATCTTTCTTTTTAAAATAATTTGTTCCTTTAAGGATCCTCAGAACTATAATTGTAATCTTTTCTGCAAATGTTTTTGGTCACATTGGCGCAAAGTTTCATTAACATTAATGTATTGACTAACATGAGCTAATAATAAACAATACATGTACAGCATTAATTAAGCACAGTTCAACATTTACTAATGCATTATGAAAATCCAGACATTAGTGCACTGTGAGTTTAATTAGCAATGAATGACTTTATATTAACAAAAACTACTGTAATATACTGTTCTTGTTAGTAAATACATTAACCAATGGAACTTACTTTAAAGTCTGACCATAATATCTGTATTTTTTATATAAAAAATATGGTCAATCGTATCAAATTATGGAAAATAATGTGATTGAATCAAGATAAACAAATAAAATAAATATTTTACTTCTTTTGTAATTGTAATAATAATAATTAGGGCTTCATTTCCATGAAAATAATCACAAATCAAAACAATTCAGGAAACATTCACGCTGTCAGCATTTGCCATATATTCAGCCGTCAATAATGATACAAACCGCATGTCATTTTCTCCAATTAGAGTCGTTTACTTGTGGATAACGAGATGATGATTACCTGCATAGGGAGAGAACATCATGTTGCATTTATATTGTTCTACAGTATCTACACGATGCTAAAAGGGCCTAAAGTAACAGCCGTAAACCTGCGCTAGACCTGACATAAGTGTGTTTGTGTTTACCAGAAGAGCATTAGTTGTTTTTTTTTTCTTGAGCAAATCAAACGCTAGGGAAAGGTTTGTGTGTGTGTGTGTGTGTGTGTGTGTGTGTGTGTGTGTGTGTGTGTGTGTGTGTGTGTGTGTGTCAGTCTCTTGCACGAGGCGGTTGGTAATATTGTTGTGTCGGTCGAGAGCGTCGAGGTTGTCCATCTCCTCCTCTTCGAAACTCAAGAGAATTTTCATAGTAAATATCTTCATCATCCTGTGGAGAAATTAACAAGAAATGAGAGCAGCAAACACAAGACAAACTGTTTATTAGATCATTCAACATCACTAGAATGTGCCAATTTTGAACATGTGTATCATAAAAGTTACTCAAAGGACTACCTAAAAAACAACAGTAAGCTGGATATAAATAAACATAAATAAATAAAAATGTATCACTTTTAATAGTTTTAATAATAAACTAGAAAACAAAAAAAATCAACAAATATTACATTAAAATTAACCAATTAAAAATACAAATAAAATCACATTAAAATAAATATATGAAACTATAAAAAGAATATACAGTTGAAGTCGCAATTATTCGCCTTCCTTTGACTTTTTTAATATGTATTTTCCTATTATTTACATTTTTCCAAAGTATTTCCTATAATATTTTTTCTTCTAGAGAAAGTCTTATTTGTCTTATTTTTGTGTTTTCGATTGTCTCCAGAACAAACCACTGTTATACAGATTTGCCTAATTACCCTAACTTTACCCTAATTACCATAGTTAAGACTTTAAATGTCACTTTAAGTTGAATACTAGTGTCGTGAAGAATATCTAGTCAAATTTTATGTGCTATAGGGCTAAAACTATAAAGCTATATGGCTCTATATTAGGGCTCTATATTAAGGATCTAGGCGCAAAGTCTAAAGAACATGGCGCGAAAGCATTAAGGTCATGTCCGATTCCACTTTTGTTATTTTAAGGACAGAAAAATACGCTGTGCGCCACGGCGCACGGTCTAACAGGTTTGTGTTTATTCTCTTAACGAGTTCTAGGTGTGTTTTGAGCATAACGTGCATTAAACCAATCAGAGTCTCATTTCCCATTCCCTTTAAGAGTCAGTTGCATAGTGCCATGGCATATTTGCTATTTGCATAACGGACTTTGTAAATGTAAAAACTGAACGCTCCACTATTGAGAAAACAGTTAAACAGAGCATCTGCAGTATGAGGATAAAGAACGAGCCTCCTCCAATCGGCCTTTACTTTCTCTTCACTTTACTTTTACTCCCTTACTTTTGTGGAGTAAGGAAACGTTAGAAACTCGCTCCACTGAAGACATCCATTAGCCGACATATTTAATTTCATTTGTTAAGCGCAAAGATTTGTGTCTAAACTATTTCTAAATTCAGTTCTAATCTCCTGCAAACGAATCAATAAACAACAATAACAAAGTGAGTTATATCCAAACACACGTCCTGTTCTTATGCCCTATATGGTGATGAAAGCGTCTCAAAACCCCACAGGTGAACAAATCTAAGCTTGTGTTTATTAAAACAAATATAAATATGCATATAATAAATATTACTGCTAATAATAACATTAGTATAATGCAGATTGTCATGAATAAATTGTAAAAGCCCACTAAGGTGAAGAAGGCATGGAGCAGTGGTTTTAATATTTTTTGTAGAAAATTATTTTAGTTTTTTTGCTGTACATCCTGTGTGTATTCAGCAACGTGTAAGTGTTTGGACCTGCACAAGCTCATAACTAACACGCTGAACAATAGAGCAGCTTTCAGTTGGTCAATGGCGCGGTCTATTTCAGTTCTTCAAAATAGCAACGTGCCAACAATGCGCCTTAACACACCTCTATTGTGGACCAGCACACCCATGGGTCCACAAAGTGGTGCAAATGTAGAGGTGTGAACCTATACTGGTCTCACGGTTCGATTACGATTATCATGCCTTCGATTCGGTTCAATTCGATATCTCGATGCATTACGGTGCATTGACGATGCTTTCCATATACAGTGTTATATTTTAGGGGGGAGGCTATAACATGCTGTCTGTATAAACACACAGCACCACACTGTCTCTCATTCACACACATACACAAACATAGACAGCAACAAACACACACACACACACACACACACTTAAGCCCTCCAACAGGGAGAGCTCGCGCTGAGCGTAGCAGAAAAACGAAAAAAAAAAAAAAAAAGAAACAAAGAAGCACTTTTCCGACGGTTCCTTATTGAGAGCTCCGCTCAGCGCGAGCTCTCCCGGCTAAACACATATTGCGAGGGCTTAAACGGAGCAGTGTCATAATGTCGAGCGAAAAAAAAGAAAGACATAACCAGCTTTGTCTTTTTGTAGGAAACTTACTTTAGATCTTTTTAGGCTAAGAGGTTTTTGAGTTATTGCCGTCTATAACTGAATGTGTGTCAGGAATATCGAAAACAAAACCAACTGAACCGCACTCATTTCTGGCATTTCCCTGGATGTACAGCGCCCTTAGCATTTGCCTATGGTGCCTATGCCACGGGCCGGCCCTGAGTTGGCTGAGTGTTGTAAATACTCGCGCTCACCTCCCTCGCGACAGAGAGCATAGGAGATAAATGACGTCAGTATAATAACCGGTTATGATTATTACTGAACCGATACCGAATTGTCCGCACCTGCATCGCGGTGCACTGAAGAAACAATTAATTTTGACACCCCGATGCAAATGGATTTGTTATTAAACAATTTGTTTTTTAACTTCTCTTTGTTAAATAGAAATTGGGGAAAATATATGGGTGGCGGAGTGGGGGGGAATAATTCTGACTTCAACTGTAAATATAACACAAAGAAATTGAATTAGTAGAAAAAAACTAATATATACAGTAATAGCAAGTAAATAAAAATAAAACAAGAAAATCAAATGCATGAAAATAAATGAAAGTAATTAAACTAAATTAATATACATTATAAATGAAAACATTTCAATTGGATTAACATAAGCAAATTTGTATGGAGTGCAGCATTGTAATGAGTTTTATACCAGGTTGTGGGTAATCTATTGCTTGTTTACCCATACATCCATGTGCAGAGGTTTGATGCTGTCAAGCAGAACTTCTTCGCAATTTCCGTAGTCGCTGAAAACAACCACAGCCGTGGAGCCCGAGGGGTGGACAGCGTCGATTCTCGCCCGGTAAAACTGTCATGAACAAAATAAAACGTTTATCAGTGCACCAAAAAACAAAAATGCATCAGAAGTGTAGAGTGATACAGCTTTCTAGAAAACTCCATTTTCTACATGTGTCAGATGCACTTAAACTCTGACTGGCAGAGCTGTGATAAAAACAATGACATTGGCTGTTTTAAGCAAGAGAAGGGGCTACTCAATTAGCTCCACTCTGTCCTCATGTTTCAATTTAATTTAAATCAAACATTGAACAAAAAGTATGCATTTCAAAGCACTTTAAGGCAGTGTTTCTCAACCACGTTCCTGGAGGACCACCAACACTGCATGTTTTGGAGGTCTCCTTTGTCTGTCACACCCATTACAGGTCTTTCAGGCTGTTTCTCAATTCCAAGAACACAGAGAAGGAACTTGCGCTCTCGAGGACACAACGATTTTTTTCCCTTTAAATATATAGATATATTGATATACATTAATAATAAATCTATATAAAATGCTGCAGTTCCCACCTCCTTTATTCAATCGCAATGACTTCTGAGACTTCTAGAGCGAGTTCGGTGCTCAAGTCTGCATTAGTGCATCATCCATATCAAGAACACATCATGCGTCCTCCATTCCTGCGGTCTTGAGTTATGGATCTAAAATTTGGCTGTTGAGGATGACGTTAAAAGAGAACAAGAGGACGCAAGATCGCTGACGAACGCATCTTGAGAAACAGCCACGAAAAATGTGCAGAACTGGTGGTGCCCAGGAACGTGGTTGAGAAACACTGCTTTGAAGTGAACTAAGCTTTTACTGTTAAATATTATAGTTCACCTTATAATAATAAAACTTAGTCCGTATGAGGAAAAATAGATGTATATATAAAAATATATAATAACAATATTGTGATATTTCACTGCTTAAATTAAGAATTTATTAATAATAAAATAATAATAAAACAACAAGATTTGTAACTTTACAATAGCAAAAATTAAATACAAATTATGCATAACCATCTTAATTTCTATGTTGTATTATTGTTAATAATAATTATTACTAAATTATATTATTAACTTATTAGCAGTAGTAGTATTAATATTACACAGTGAAACATTTCAACAGCAATATTTCTGTTTTTACTTAGTAATTAATATTTTACTACTGATGCTAATAACAATAATAAAGAATAATATTTATTTTTACACTGAAATATTTAAACAGTAACGTTTAGTTTTTTATTTAGGAAGTTTTAAATTAAGCAATACCTATTTTACGACGACGACTACTACGACGATGGCGACGATGATGACCACTGCTACTACGACAACAACGGCTATAACGATGACGACTACTACTACTACAACGATGGCTGCTGCGGCAGCAAAGATTACAACAACTACTTCTACTACTACTACTACAACAACAACAACGTCTGCTGCTGCGACTGCTACGACGACGACTACGAAAATAATGACTATTACGACTGCTGCTGCATCGACGACGACGACTACTGCTTATACAATGATGTTGAATAAAGGGGGGTGGGGGTCGCACACCAGATGCGCTGCTCGACGACTCAACACGCCATGCAGCCCCATGCATTTTAGCATTCTAATCATAGACTTATATTAGGGTACACACACCGGCGCCGCAAGTCGGAACAACTCAGAACAACTTTCATATTTCTGCCACGCCACAGAGCGCCATTTGAATTGTTTTATTTTAAATAATATGCGAATGTGCGTGTCTGGTGTGCACTTCCTACTGCCAAGTGTGCGCCATCTATAAGCGGCGCATCGGTGTGCGACGGCCTTAAGATGACGACTTCTGCTGCGATGACGACTAAAATGATAACTACAACTACAACTAGTAATAATACCAATTATAATAAAGTAATAACAATAAATTATTTCTTCTAAAATCAAAAGTATTTCTTCATAATAAAAGGATAATCACTGCTGTAATATCAGAAAACAAAATACTACTATTATTATTATTATTATTTTGGAACTAACGTCAAACACCAAACAAAATCTCACATTTCAAGCTACTTCAAGAGAACTTTAAGGTTCAAAACAAAATTGGTAATTTCATAATTCACTAAACTAATAATTCACTAAATTCACTATCTGTATTGGAAAAATAAAGAAGTATAAAGTGGGCTGCATAAACGCACACTATCACTGACCTTATTGTCTTCCCAGTAGAGCGCCAGACACTGATCACCCGCTTTCCAGTTCACAAAATTATTTATGTCCACCGAGTCTCTCGGACCTTTGATTGGGCCAGATCTCCTCTTGGAGGCGGGGTTATGCATATTTGTTTGCCTTGGAGGCGGGGCTGAAAAATGTGGTTTGATTGGACCAGTTCGTCTGTGTTCTAAATCCCCATTAGGAAGCGGCGTGTTTGAAACTGGGCCCACTTTAACAAACTGACCTTCATCCTGAAAGTCTTTTTTTCCCAATGCATCCTGGGAATGCTCAAAGTACCCTGAATTGGGTCTTTCCGGCCTGCCTTTCCTTCTGTTGTTCGGCTCATTTCTCATTTTGGGATCAGCAGGGGTTGAGAATTTGGGTGGCGCAGGTCCGTTTGATTGGTTTTTCCTAAATGAAGCAGGTCCTGTGCCATCCTGCTCTTTATTAAGCTCCTTTCCAGACGCACCCTGCTGCTCTCTGGACTTGGAGAAGCTGGAGTTGTATGATAACGGTGCATTTCTAGCATCCTGACTCTCGTTTTTCCATCGCTCTGGTCCTCCTCCTCGTCCCGTTCGCTCTCCGTCCCTCCATTTCTGCGGCTGGGAGAAGCTGGACGAGGCTGGGGTGGGTTTGGGAAAGTCTCCGTCTTTCTGGAAACGTGGAGGTCTGTCGTTTCTCTGTGATCTTCCATCGTTTCGGGGAGGAGGTTTAAACTGTCCTGCATCTCTGGACATTTGATCAGAGTTAGAGAAGTTCATCTTGGTTTGGTGGTCTTGTTGTGAAGGCTTTGAGTCTGGAGGGTTATTGAGAAAAATATGAAGGAAATAAAATAATCACACTTTATTTTAAGGTACAATTCATGCTATTAAAAACCATTAACTTAGACTTTTAGCTCAATAAATGAGTAACTAGCTGCTTATTTATAATCACTTATTTATTATCACTTACCCTCACAGTAATCTATGCAATACCTTGCTGCTTGTGCCGTATATTTACTTATTACGGGTTTTAGTGTGTGGAAGTCTGTGCATTATGTTTTATGATGTGCAATAGTCTACTAGGTGCAATATTTGTACGTTTTTTTTTAGGTGTTAAATATTTTTAGTGCAATATCATTGTTTTTTAAATGAGTGTTGTATCACTTTATTACTTGAAATATTTTATGTGCAATTGTTTTATGAGTAATATTATTGGTTTTGGTTAATATTATTTTCATTACTTGATATATGACTTAATAGTATTAGTTATCACTGATTCTTTTAAGTGTAATATCTTATATAATAGTTTGTATATTTATGTATTGTGGCTGTTTCCTTCTATAGATTGGATATAGGTTGGATTTATGTGACTTATTTCACTTATTTAATTTATTTATTCTCTCTTGTGTTTTTGTGTTTCTGTGTTTTGTGTGTTATGGCAGTCATTACGTAAGCAATTTCCTGCGGGATCAATAAAGTTTTCTAAGTCTAAATAAGTATTACTGAATAAATATGTAAAAATAAAAACAGAAATATTATTAATTATTATTATTATTAGCAGCATTACTAAATCAAATATAAATTGCTAATAATAGCTTAAACTTTGCAATGGTAAAAATAAAAACAGAGTCATTACTGTTGTAAGATTTATTTGTAAAATAAATTAAATTAAATAAATAAAATTATTTTTAAAAAATAAAATTGATTAAATTACAAAAAAAAAAGAAATCAGTATTATTGATGTAGTAATGAACCCAAAAAAAGTCAATTCTTTTTAGAGAATTAATTGAAACTTGTAAAATATTAAATATTAGTGGTCTGATCGATTATGAATGCTAAATTTAAGTGAAATATTTTTTTTTTTATTTGTTTATTTGGCAGAGACAGTGTACATTAATGAGCATTTCTGCAAATGCACCAGAATTAGCCAGAAAGCTATTTTTCATCTGTTGTCCCATTACTATGTATGAAGTATGTATAGGTAAACTATGAACAAGCCCAGCAGCAACTTTATTTTAAGTTGCTTTGGACAAAAGTGTCTGCTAAATGACTAAATGTTATTAGTAGTTTGGTTTGAGTATTGGGTAGGATTAGGGATGTAAAATAAGATCATACTTTATATGTGCTAATATACAGTTAAGGTCCTAATACTAAGCAGGTATTAAACCACTAGATAATGTTGATAGAAAATGTGTGATTAAACTAAAGTTTTACCAATAAACAGCAATTACATGCTATTAGCTGAAGACGTGGGATGTTTTTATGATGAAACTTATAATGCAATGTTTACTAAATGCATTTTAATAATTAAATAATAAATCATTAATTAAAAATAATGTTTGGATTGTGTATAGGCCTGCAGAATATCCCACATAGATGTAAAATTTCCCTTAAATTTTGTATTTAATCACTTGTAATATAAATTAACTTACAAAGTGTAAAATTACAATTCAAATATTTACTATAATCATAAATGTCTTTTTATTTTGGCAAATTTTTATGATTATTACAATTATCATTATTATAAAAAAAAATGATAATACAGCATAACTACAGGAATAATACAGTTTTATTTAATAATATCTAATTTAGTACTTTAATAAGAAGAAAAAGAAGAACAATAGTATTATAAAAAAGTTATCATGTTTACAAATGACTCTTACATTAGTAATATTTCTGTTTTTATCTTTACATTTTTTATTCAGCAATACTACTTTTCACTAATGAGATTACATGATTGTTCGACGCCATTAAACCACGGAGAAGTGAAACCACATTGAAAAGTTTAATGACGTACAAAGCGAAACGCCTCAATAAATCCGATCTGCCTGTTTAAATGATAGTCACATTGTCACAGATCCTATTTATATCTGATTATTTCCACATATGAAGAAGGCCGAAAACAGATCTCTGAATATCCGAATGCATTTTTTTTTTTGTTTACACGATCACAGTATTGGGTCACATACTGTATAACTAGCAGTGTAAACAGGGCCTAAGGCTGCATTTACATGGCAGATCTTGATGTCGATGTCGATTTTGTGACTTTATTTGATTTTTTTGATGAGCTGCTAACATCATCTTTTAAAAGTGACTCATATCCAATCATCTGCATTTACACAGCACAAGGCAAAGGCGCAATGACCAGAAGAAAAAAAAAAAAAAAAAAAAAGAGCGGGCGCTGACTAACAGCTGATAATTAAAGAGTGCTCTTTTCTCTACTCCTGTAAGTAATCTGTTCGCAGCTTTTGACAAGCAGTTGTACTATAGTTTATGACAGAAAGGTTCTCATTTGTCCATCTTCTTTTGATTTATAGGCTTAGGCATCTTAATGTAATGTCTATGGCGATGATTTTTGCACGTGATGTATGCACTAGTTTAACATTAGTTTATATTGGTTTTGTGGTGGACATTGCGCTCTCTCGCTCTTGTTAACATGCTTAATTACTTGTCTATATGACAATATAAAAGCTTTTTAAGTCCTCGTGTATGAGATTTAAGGTTTGGGACTCTGCTGAAGTCTATTTTGAAAAGCAAGTGTCAGACTTGATGTCACTCACTACTGTTTTAATAACGTGCGACTCGCACTGACAGGTGAAAGTCAGATCTACCTGTTTACACTGCAGACACGAGAACACAGATCCGATTCATATCGGATAAATTTCCACATATGAACAAGGCCTGAATCTGATTTGAGTAAATCGCAATCCATGTGATTTGTTCCTGCTTACACGTACATAATAATAATACAAAATAAATAAATAAAAATCGGAATTGAGTCATTGAACAGTGCAGTGTAAATGCAGCCTTATGGCCCGTTTCCACTGAGTGGTACGGTATGGTTTGGTTTGGTACGCTTTTATGGCCGTTTCCACTGTCAAAAGGCATACCGAACCAAACCGTACCGTACCACTTTTTCGGGACCCTTTCGAAAGGGTCCCAAACTGCAGAAAGGGTCCCAAAAGGTGGAGCTACACGCGCAGCTGAACGCTATTGGTTTACAGAGATACGTCATTCGTAGACGCAACAAGCCAGAATGTAAACAAAGGACCCGCCATGTTTGAAATACACAGCGAGAGATTACAGCGGAATTATAAATACATATGCAGCCATGGTCAATCCTGCAAACAAACCCTGTCGTCATGATAAACAGCCACAAAGCCATGGAGAAGAGCAGATTCACCCTGTGCCGCGTAGTTTTTAACGAGCCAGTCTGAAGCCCGAGTGGTTTCGATTTCTTTCTTGCGCTCGCCGCGCGTCTCTATCTGAAATAACAAACTTCTTGATCTGATAATAATAACATGCACTTGATTATTGACAAGCTTTGGAAACCCGATCCTGTGAGAAGCTGACAAACGCGAGTGACACATTCAGAAAGAAAAGGACAAACGCGAGAATGGAGCGCGAGAAAAAAGGCGAAGCCAGAGCATGTTCTTTCTTCAGCAAACGTGAACAAACTGCCTTGTTTTAATCTTTGTCACCTGTTGGAATAATATGAACTGGGAATGATGGAGTGACTCTCTAACAGAGGCTTCATGTGCTGCTGAAGATTACAGACACAGTTGAGAGGTTTACTCTGACTGTAGGCTATACTTTGTGTTGTTTTGAACCTAATTAACGACGAAATGTCTGCTGTGTGTAGTTCTTCTGTAGTTGGTAACATATCGGAGACTGTAAGGATCTGTATGTGTTCATATGTTCATTTATTTAATATAATTACAGACGTTACAGTAGGCAATTTCGCACAGTTATTGATCTGCAGTTATAATCAACTCCTGTTTATAGAAAAGTTAGTAATAAACATTTATACACAAGTATTTATGTGTATAAAGCATCTGTTTTGTGAGAAGTGCTTTTCATATGAGATGTAAACGACCTGTGCAGCTTTACTGTAGACATTTTCTCGAGCGAAAATGACGTCGACTGAAACTTTGTCATATTCCACGCCCACCAAAAGGGTACCCTTGGTAGTGGAAACGCAAGCCTGATAAAGGTGACCCGTACCGACCCGAACCGTACCGTACTGTACCAGTCAGTGGAAACGAGCCATAAGTGTATTATTATTAGGTTTCACTTCTGATGCATTTCTTAACACCCTAAAAGGCGACTTTGCATTGCAGCCGTCACAGTATGCATTTCTGTTCTGCATACAAAATTCACCTTTTAGGGTGTTAAGAAATGCATCAGAGAGAAAAAAAACAATAATAACAATAATAACTAAAACAACAATAACTAAAAAGTTCATTGACGAAACCCCTACAGCGGCTCCACGGAAATACCAAAGCTTTAAACACAGGACTCATGATGAAGCAGCGCACTTCAAAAGCACAATTACAGTGTTACAGGTCAGTCTGACTCAAACAAGATGCTGAAAATGCGGAAGAGCCGAGCTGTTTCTCCACATATTAGCCCTGTCTGTTTTCTCCTAAAGCCATATGTCAGGCAGAGCTTACCAGCCGCAGAGACTTATCTAAAGCTGACTAATAGAAGCGCCTTCATTCGGGACCGGCCATCTGTCTGACGGCGCACTCAGACTTTTAACAGAAGAGCAGATTAAAAATCCTGATACAATGTTCCCATTATTAGGACTTATTCCAGTGCACATGCAGTGGGAATCAAGCAACCGAGAAAATGCTTTGAAAGCAAGCGATCGTTTATATTCATCATCACGATATAAACTCGCAGGATGTACATGCAACAGACGTGAAAAGCAAGCTTACAGCACAGGGGTTTATTTACAAAAGACACAGCAGAAAAGTGTCTTTTAAAAAAAGAAAAGAGGTTTACTGTACTTCACTATAGTAATGCACAATTTAGGGTAAATTGTGACTAGAATAGAGTTGAAAAGAGTAGAATAAAGTTTGATGAAGTGGAATAGAACAGAGTTTAAAAGAATAGAGCAGAATGGAATTGAGTAGAACAGAGTTGAATAGAGTAACAGAATATAGTTTAATATAGTCGTACCCAATGAGTCATGATAAAATTGAGTTGAATAGAGTAAAATAGAGTACAGTTGAAAAGAGTAGAGTAGAATAAAATAGAAAAGAGATGAATTGAGTAGCATAGAATATGCAGTGCATCCGGAAAGTATTGATACCACTTCACTTTTTCCACATTTTGTTATGTTACAGCCTTATTCCAAAAGAAATTTAATAAGGTCCCAGGGTTGACAGTGCATGTCAAAGAACAAACCAAGCAGGAAGACAAAGGAATTGTCTGTAGACCTCCGATAAAGGATTCTCGAGGCACAAGGCTGGGCAAGCTTACAGAAACATTTCTGCTGCAATGAAAGTTCTAATGAGCACAGCGGCCTCCATCATCCATAAGTGGAAGATGTTTGGAACCACCAGGACTCTTCCTAGAGCTGGCCGGCCATCTAAGCTGCGTGATCGGGGAAGAAGGGCTTTAGTCAGGGAGGTGATCAATAACTCGATGGTCACTCTGTCTAAGCACAAACGTTATTCTGTGGAGAGAGGAGAACCTTACAGAAGGACAACCACCTGTGCAGCAATCCTCCAATCACTCCTGTATGGTAGCGTGGCCAGACGGAAGCCACTCTCTGCCTGAAATTAGCCCAAAAGCATTTGAAGGACTCTCAGACCATCAGAAACTACATTCTCTGGTCTGACGAGACTCAAATTGAACTCTTTGGAGTGAATGCCAGGCGTTACGTTTGGAGAAAAGCAGGCAGCGCTCATCAGCAGGCTAACAGCATCCCTACAGTGAAGCAAGGTGGTGTTGGCATCATGCTGTGGGGATGTGTTTCAGCAGCAGGAACTGGAAGACTAGTCAGGATAGAGGGAAAGATGAATGCAGCAATGTACAGAGACATCCTGAATGAAGACCTGCTTCAGAGTGCTCTTGACCTCAGACAATTCATCTTCCAGCAGGACAATGACCCAAAGCACACCGCCAAAATATCAATGGAGAGGCTTCACAACTACTTGGAGAATGCCCTTGAGTGGCCCAGCCAGAGCCCAGACCTAAATCCTATTGATCATCTATGGAGAGATCTGGAAATGGCTGTTCACCGTCGTCACCCAAAGACAGGTGTGCCAAGCTTGTGGCATCATATTCAAAAAAACTTGAGGCTGTAATCACTGCCAAAAGTGCATCAACAGAGTATTGAACAAAGGCTGTGAACACTGATGTACATGTGTTTTTTCAGCTTCTTATTTTTAATTAATTTGCAACAATTTCAAAAACTCTTTTTTCACATTGTCATCATGGGGTATTGTGTGTAGAATGTTGAGGAAATAAATGATTTTAATCCATTTTGGAATAAGGCTGTAACAAACAAATGTGGAAAAAGTAAAGCGCTATCAATACTTTCCGGATGTACAGTAGTTGAATAGAGTAGTACAGAATAAAGTAGAACAGAGCATATAAGAATATAGTTGAATAAAGTAGAATAGAGTAAAACACAAGAGAGTTAAATAAAGTACAATGCATATAATTGAATAAAGTAGAATAGAAATTAATAAGAAAAAAAGTTTAATAGAATTAAAATTAGAGTTGAAAAGAAAGCGTGTAAATTCAGTGAAACAATCAAAACTGTATAAAGTTTACAGTTAAGTCAGTGTACAATTAAGCTGAAATGTAAAACAAAATATTTTATATCAATATATGTTTAAATATTAATATAAAACATGAGTTGGCAGCTAAATTCAGCTGAAAGGAAAAAAATACTGACTAAAAATATTTTTAATTAATTCATTTTAAAACTAGAAGCATCAAACATGAATTCTGTTAAAGGAGAATAACAAATCACTTATAATAATGACAAAACATACAAAAATCTATAAAAAAAAACTTAAACTATGAATATAAAAGCTAAACAAAATAGCATTATATATATATATATATATATATATATATATATATATATATATAACAAAATAATTACACATATATATTATATATATGTATATATATGTATATATGTATATATATATATATATATATGTATGTGTGTGTGTGTGTGTGTGTGTGTGTGTGTGTGTGTGTGTGTGTGTGTGTGTGTGTGTATATATATATATATATATATATATATATATATATATATATAAAACAAAATAATTACACTGTTACTATCTAAAAACACAAACATATAATATATTTTATTCATATATATGATCTATTCCAACATTTAAAGATCATAGGTTTAAGATTGTTTAAGGTAAAATAAATTCAACATACCGTCAATGGAGAACGTCCCCATTTTGGACTCCAGGAAGTCAAACAGAGTGCTGGGTCCAGACGGTCTTCCTCCAGCTTCCTCATCCTCATCTTGTCTGGAGCGTCCCTTTCCTCGACCCTTTCCTGACAACACAAAAACACACAATCACAAACCAGTATTCACATTACATGCACACAAAAAGTAATAACATGAACATGTGTTCAGAGTTTAGTGCACTAAATAAACTGAAAACATGTGAAAAAGTGAGCAGCATGACAAAGTAAACATGTTGAGTTGGGATGCACAGACTGTCCGGCCGGAAATCATAATTGAACAGCTTTTGTGCCAAACTCGCAATCTGTTCCGACATGCACACAAACTGCAAGTGTCTAAATGAAGAATCTACAGAGTCCAGAAACAGCAGACAAATGCAAATAATCAATAATTCTATGCATCATTTTAATAAACACATGCACAATATTGATATTTAAGGCACTACAAAATTCCTCCAATAATTATTTACAATTAAAAATTGCAGTGTTTATTAAGAATATTCAGTTTGTTGTATTAGTGGTTGTTCATCGCAGCACCAAATGCTTGAAGATTCAGGAAGCGCTTTATTTTCAAATATTAACATTTTCACGTTAATCTGGCCAATGAAACTGAAAATCTGTGGCTGCATCTGAAACCGCATACCTCCATACTATATAGTACGCTAAAATCAGTATGCGAGCCGAGTAGTATGTCGGAATTCATAGAGTTCGAAAATCAGTATGAGAGAAGTACCCGGATGACTTACTACTTCCTCCGAGATTCTGGAGAGCGCATCCCATGCTCACTGCGCTATCCCATGATGCCCCGCGAGAGAGTTCATGAACCATGTCATGTGGCTATGATGTAGCACATCCGAATTTCCTTCACACTTCACAACCGAGTAGTATGTTTAAAATCAAATGCTGTACTTACTGAGTAGTAGGCGGTTTCGAATGCAGCCTGTGACTATTTATTGGTGTTTTCCATTTGTTAACATCAGTTAATTTAACTGAAGTCAATGCTATGACAAGGGTGACGTGGTGGCTCAGTGGTTAGCACTGTGGCCTCACAGCAAGAAGGTTGCTGGTTCGAGTCCTTGTTGGGTCAGTTGGCAGTTCTGTGTGGAGTTTGCATGTTCTCCCGGTGTTTGAGTGAGTTTCCTCCGGATGCTCCGGTTTCCCCCACAGTCCAAACACATGCACTATAGGGGAATTGATGAACTGAATTGGCTGTAGTGTATGAGTGTGCATTTATTAACCAGTGAGTTTATTAATAAAGTGATATTAATTTCTTAATCTTTGACTAATAACATGTTAAAACCAAAACTTTAAAGCTGAAAATAAATGTAAAAATAAATTCTGAATTACTATTTAATAATTGGAACATCGAATAAAATTTTACTATGTAATTTGACATTATTTACAGCCTGCTTTACTGAGCTGAAGTTGCTTTTATTTTCACATTGGTTCATTTATGAACAATGATAGCCTCCCTATACTGTTTACCATGCTACTCTGAATATTCACTGTTCACTGAATATTCAAGAGTGGTTTTAGTGAGTGTAGTTCCTGCACGCTGCTGGCGAAACACTAACTACATTTCTAACTAATGAATGACGAACTAGTTGGTCGTCTGCGGTCATGTGTCGATTTCAGGACGCATGGTTTTGAAACGCAGTCCCCCACCGTCCAAAGATAATATGCTAAGCGGTTAGATCACCTACCGCACCTTTAACCTGTGCATTTATTAATGAAGTGATTTTAATTTCTTAGTCTATGACTAATAACATGTTAAAACTTTAAAGCTAAAAATAAATGTAAAATAAAAAATAAAAAATAAATGCTTAATTATTAAATATTTGGAAATTCTAATAAAATTGTACACGTAATTTAAAATGTGGAAGAAAGGTAATTATTTAATATTAGTGTTTATAAAGAATATTGAGATTGTTGTATTTGCAGTGGTTTTTCACCAAAGCACCAAATTCTTGAAGATTTAATAGGCATATTTTCACATATGAACATTTTCACATCAATCTGGCCTACATCACTGAAAATTCTGGCCATTTTATAGGGCTTTTGTTCATTAACTGTACAGTAATTCTCCATTTTTTTTAGTAAGTGATTTTAATTTATTGGTTTATGACAAATAACGTTCAAATTCTAAATTGTAGTCATTGTTTTAAATTAAAGTTAATAACAAATAAAATTCTGTTGTATTTTTTAACTATCAGGTAAAACTAACAAACTGCAAAAATAGAGGGAAAAAAGTTTATATTTAGAAGTTATAATAAAAATTACATTTAATTTAAAGTGTAAAAAAGACAATTATTTAACATTTTGAAATTATAATTAAATTATTATTATTAATATTATTATTCATGTATATACAGTTGAAGTCAGAATTATTATCTGTCATGTTAAATATTAATTATTTTATATTTTTTCCAATTTCTGTTTAATGGAGAGAAGATTTGTTTTCAGCACATTTCTAATTATAATAGTTTTAATAACTCATTTCTATTAACTGATTTATTTTATATTTGCCATGATGACAGCACATAATATTTGACTAGATATTCTTCAAGACACTTCTATACAGCTTAAAGTGACATTTAAAGGCTTAACTAGGTTAATTAGGCAAGTCATTGTAATGATGACTTATTTGGTAGACAATCAAAAAAAATATAGCCTCCAGGGGGCTAATAATATTGACCTTAAAAGGGTTTTAAAAAATTAACAACTGCTTTAATTATGTTCAAAATAAAAACAAAATAAATAGCATAGGAAATGCAGTAAAAAATGTCTTTAATCTGTTAAATATTGCTTGGAAAATAAAAAAGTATTGCACAGGAGGGCAAAAAATGAAGAACAATTTTAAAATGTCATCAGTATTGGACATTAAAATGAAGAGTGCTGCATCATGCTGACACCTGTGTGAAGTTGCTCTCTGGTTATTTTTCGTTTATAACCATCTGCAGGTTTTTACCTCGGGGCGGCGGGCGGCTCTGCTCCACTGGGGCTGCTCTGGGCTGGTTTGCTCTGGTTAGCAGGAGGTTAAGGGCCACTTCAAGGTTATTATTGTTATCTAGCAGAGCCTGTCTGGCCGCCTCTCGGTTAAAGCCCATCTCCATGATGTCCCTCAAAGCTCGCTCATCAACCTTGAAGAGGCAAAAAAACAGCAGAACACAGAAATCTTAAGGGTCATCCAGCACTCCATTAAAATCCATCACGCAAGGACAAAAGTACAGACGCAGAAAACACGCAGAGCACCACTGAAGCACAAAAACACGGAAATACGACTGCAATCAAAACAAAACACAAGTGGGGTTATCCATCGGTGCTTACATCAGCCACCCACTTGACTTCTGTCCAGTAAAAGGCAAGCGTTCGCTTCTCTACTCGCATTAGAGACAAATAATGCCATATAATTATAAATAAAAGCCCACCGTACAATTTTTGGGCACTTGAGGCGTTCTCAAGGATTGTTACTTTTAAAAAAAACACGAGTGAAAATGGCAAGATTGGAATGCATTAGCACAAATAAATAACAAAACGTCATATTTTTAGCAACAGAAATGTTCAACCACTACTTTCAGAGTCTTAAAGCAGCACTTTACATTATGATGTGCTCAGTTCAACACTCGCAATGTTGAGATCAGTCAGATTTATTGACCTTATTCTCCGCAGATGAGCGGGCGCTGCCATTTGAATCCTTTTGGCACGAGACTTCCGGTCTCATTCACTTCCATTCATTTTTAGACAATAAAAACTGCTCGTATTACTGCTTGATGTTGCAAACTGATATTTCCTTATTATAATATTCTACTTGGTCTGTATAGTCATGCAAACATTTGTTTGTAGAGCAAGTAGTTTGACCGTTTTTTGCCGTTAATTATTCCTAGTCATTTCTCCCATAGGCGACTGAAACGGAAGTTCTAAGACAATCGCGGAAACATGCGCACTTCCGCATTTTAGAATAAGGTCAATACGTTTTTTTTTAAAGGAATCAATACTTACATTTAAGCTAGGATGCATTAAATTGATTTGTAACATTTTACAATACACAGTTAATGTTAGTTAATCGATTTGCTAACATGAACAATACATACAGCCGGGGTCTCAAACTCGCGGCCCGCGGGCCATTTGCGGCCCTCAGTGCAATATTTTGTGGCCCGCGCCGACCGCTGTACACTGACAGAATCAGCAGAGCGGGGAGAGAGAGCGTTTCCCGCTCCGCTGATTCTTTCCGTACACAGCGCGCTTGTCACTCAATGCGCGTTGTCGCGCGCGTTCTGATCAGCTGTGTTGTCGCGCGCGTACTCAAGAGCGGTGTTATCGCGCGCCTACTGAAGAACGGGGCCGAGGGTGTGTCGCATCGCGGGGGCACTTTTGATCATTTTGGAAGGGCACTTTCTATGCAAGACTAAACAGGGCATGTGCTCTGCACAGGTTGAGCCCTATGTGTGCACGTGCCTGCCCTGCATCTTGTGTTGATATTATAGGTAGATACAGACTGGTACAGACTGATGTGACTGGAGTGGGGTGGGGGTGTTTTATTTATACATATATACGCCTTTTTTTAGGTGAGGGAATGGAAGTTTTGAGTGAGTTCCCCCACTTTGTCCCCTAGGACTTCAATAAGTCAAAGTACAGGTCTAGACTTAATGATGATCATCTTCAAGCCATACTGAGGGTCTCAACTGCTTTCTAAAGCCAAATGTGGTTCAGATTTGTGAGAAGAAGCGCTGTCAAGTCTCTGGCAGCAAGGAGTAGGCAAAAGATGCCATGTTCAGAAGAACTGTTCATAATCTTCACTCAATGTTCTATTAATGTTCAGGACACTTCATGTTCAGAAGAAATAATTAAAACTGTTAATAATGACATTTGAGGACTTTTTTTGTGAAATCCCTTATGCGGCCCAGCCTCACCCAGACTTTGCCTCCTGCGGCCCCCAGGTAAATTGAGTTTGAGACCCCTGCATTACAGTATAGTCCTCTTTGAGTACGTTCACATGAACACTAATAATGCGATTTTAATACGATTAAGACAATACTCAGATTAAAAGTTTACCATGTTAACAGCAATATGTAATTAACTTAATCAGATTAAGAACCTACTCGCACTATGCAATCCGTACCGTGCTCAGGCCCGTTTCCCGGATTGTTTGAGAAGTGTGAGTGCTCTGAATCAGGCTCAGGCACGGTTCACTTGGCCGGCCCTGGCCCGGTTGGAAGAGGTGTGCCTGAGCGCGGTTCACTTGGGCTTTGGCGCGGTATGCTTGTGTGTGAGTGCAAAATGCGCCAAAGCCCGAAACTGAAAGTGAGACGTGACTTTTAAGGGACTGTTTCATATAGATTTATTAATAATTCTTACTGTTCAGTGAACGCAAACTGCCGTAGCTTATTAAAGACGAGAACTCCTCACTGCACGTCAGCTGTGTGCCTTCAGCAGACCTCCTCAATCCTGCAGCACGAGGGCTTTATGATTGTTTATGAGCGCCAAAAGTGGCGGATCTGTTCGGCGAAATATCTGACTGCTTGTCCCCGCATCCCTAAAGACTGTTTGCCGAAATATTTGACTGCATATCACTGCATATCAAACGACTGAAAGGATATTACTCGAGAAATCTCCACTGTGCTGCTGAGTGAGCGAGCGCTTCTCACTGAACAGCGCAGTATCGATGACGTAAGCGTGCCGAGGCCCATTTGTGGTGTGAGCCGTCAGGGGAGATGGGAGAGGGACAAGCGTGCTTTGGCCCGGTTCGAAGCAACTGTACCTAGTGTGAGTACGGCCTAAGGTTAGGGCTGCACGATTCTGGCAAAAATGTGAATCGCTTTTTTTTATCTTAAAATCAAGATGACGATTTTCTCAGGATTCTGTAAATGTAAAATAAAGGTTAATATGATTAGCCTTTTATTATTGTAATTCTCAAACATATAGTAAAACAACACTAATAATCTTAGGCCTGTGTGTAGGTCTGCTGTTGCTTAAAATGCTCAATTTTGTATAGTCTTGGACTTGAAGAGACTTTCAATATGTCCTGTTTGTTAATCCACAATAAAATGATGACATCAGAATACAACTGTTCCTAAATATAACGTTGATTTCTTATGTTTAAGACATGTGCTTGTCATCTGCCATTGACAACATTATTAGACCATTTGTTTTCACTGGTAAAATTAGAATTTTGTCATTATCAGATTCCTTCTTGCATCATATTCAACATTACATATAGGCTAGGGTTGTTATACTGACACTGTTAAACATTTATTTTCATGCACAACACTTTGTGTTCGGTGTGAAAGAAAAAGCATATTAAATGCTTGTCGTAATCATAACTCTAAAATGCGATATGGTCATTTAAATGATGTGCGCACAGGTTTCGCTTTCACTTTCGAGTGCGGCTCATGGCTGCTGTCACTGAGATAAAAAAACCACACACATGCAAATCAAACCTCCGGCACGGCCCTCAAACAATCGCTCTGTGCAACAAACTGAACGCTATTTACAACAGTGGTTATCAAAATTAGCACGTTAATGAATGTGATTAATTATGAAATATATCGTACAACAAAGCATAGATATAGTGACAGGCCTAATATATTTCTCTTAAAAATACTGAATTGATATAAAAAAAACATACCATGGTAAAAGCTTCAGAAATTAAATCACAAGACATTTAAACTGCCGTCAGTAGGGTTGGGTATCGTTTGGGGTTATTTCGATACTTTTAAAATGGTACAGAATTATGGTAAATGACCATAAAAATCTTTTATTTGACTATTTTTAATCATTTTAATTGAACAATATAATTAAAGTGTAAAGTATACATTATTAAGTGACAGTAGCTGCGTCCCAAATCGCATACTTATGCACTATTCTACGCCATTTTGTAGTATTAGTAGTTTAAGTAGTGTGTTCACACTGAAAACTCTAAAAATAATAAGTGCACTTTAATTACCCGGATGATGCACTCATTCAGCCGCTAAAATGAAGTGTGTAATGATGGACACTTCACGCACTCAACGACCGCAGGTTTGCTTACGTAGCGGAAGGGGTGGAGCTATCAGACGCACATGTTGAATAACTTTATTTATTTTGGATGGTGAAAGCAAAATTCTTCTACTAGAGTGATTTTAGCGCCTCCCGATGGTGAATGCGGCAATACTCACGGCAGATATTATCTGATAATTCGGTCGTTTATTTCACTGATTTGGCGACCGTCAAACGTCATCAGGGAAACGGCTTGAATTTCCGCTTAGTAAAAACACATTAGTGTGCCATTTGGGACGACACTACATACATATACTATCCTGTTGAGTGTGTAAGTGCATAAGTACATGGTGCATGAGTGCATAGTGTATAGTGTGCCATTTGGGACGCAGCTTGTGTCTGTATCCCTCAAAGTTGTTTAGAATTAAATGTTTAGAGATGGTGTGATACATCGCGTACATATGTGTGCCTTTGATGTACCCCTCAATGCTTCTTACGTCCTTGTCGCAGCACCAGTGGCAACAAAATGTATCAGTTGATTTGGTTTGTTTATACCTGTTACATGAGTTTCTTTAAAACATTATATTTTGTTGTAAAATGATCATTTTCATTTTTTGGGTGTACTGTCACTTTAGATGTTATGATGACTGCAACAAGCAAAATCATCAGCATTCAGTCTATTCGGATCATTTTAAAGCTTCTCTCGCATTTCACATTATTAACAGTTCATTTCATGAGGAGTAACTTTGAGTATCACTTCCCCAAAACTGCTGACAAACTAGCATTTATTTAGGTTTACGATGATCTCTGCATCTCACCAGATCTCTGTAAACTCCGTCTGACTTGTTTTCCGTCCAGGGTTTTTCTCTCTCCTCTCTCTTTCTTTGATACGTGTCCCGGCTCTTGAAAGATGATCCTGGATTTGCGAGGTTTCCTCCTGCATTTCCTCCCCCACCGAACGTACGCGTCTACACAAAAACACACACAAACATCTGCAATTTAAAGGTCCTGTGAAGTGATTTAAATGTGCATTTTTATTCAAATTTTGACTTATTCTCTACTGAAATAAAGAAAGGGCGGGGCATAAAGTAGCCCCTCCCCTTCATAAGAAAACACCCAATAGCATTTTGTTTTCTCACTGCTCTGCTAGTGAGAGTGGTTAAGATTAGGCGCATCAAACAAAAGCCAATGAGAAGAAGGGGGCGGGGCATATAAGACACTACAGAGCATTTGATTGATCAAAAGATTTGATGAGAAACTGAAGTATGAAAAAATCCTAGATTATTTAGGATGGAAGTGACAAACTGCATGCTATGGAAGTTTATATCAGCATTATATCTTTTAAATGCTAATTTTGTCACCATTTTGGAGCACACTAGCTTATAGATATCCTTTGATGCTGACATACTGATACTAACATCTAAAAAATACCTTTATTTGATTTTACAGGAACTGCAACATCAGCCTGCTTCAATCAACACACAAATACTGTACATTTCAGGACATAAGTACGTTTTAACCTGACTCTTGAGCTTGCTTGTCAAGGTAAAATGAATGTTTAATGATTTGTGTGTTCATGCATCACATTACATTTGTAATTACACACCCGAAATCAAACATTTCTTAATTAAATATTGGACGATAGTAATTTTGCTCGTGCCCTACAGTCACAGTCACGAGTAGGATCAAATTCAATTATATATTGCTTTAATACATCAATATGTGATTATCAAAAGGTGCTACTTTGTTGCAGGGTGTGAAAATCAGATTTATTCTGAACTGAAACACCAATATGCTTCTGTAAGTGTCTTGTACACAGCCAGTCAAACCTTTTTGAATATTTATGATATTTGTAATATTTTTTATAATGTTTTTGGAGGCATTGTATTTGTTTAATAAAAAGTCTTATTGTGAACAATTACTGCAATTGTTTTTAAAAAGCAACATTTTATTATGTAAATATTTTCAATCATGCAATAATGAATTTTTTGCATCATTAATCCAGTATTCAGTTTGTGTGTCACACGATCCTTCAGAAATTCTTATATGCAGATTATTATTAATACTATTTTGTGGAAACCATAAGAATTTAAAATTCTTTGAGTAAAAAAAAAAAGTGTTTATTTGATATAGAATCTGTTTGCAACATTAGAAACAACAACAAAAATGATACGTTTGACCAAATTATTGCATCATTAAAGAATATAATTATTAATTTGTGTTTTTAATCACAGCATTAGAATTATTCTGATGAATTATGTGGCAATTAAAACTAGAGTAATGATGCTAAAAATTGTAATTTTCAAAGTTATTTTTTAAATATATTCTAATTTAAAATTAATATTTTTTAATTGTATATTTAATCAAATAATGATGAGTATAAAATCCCAAACTTCTGGCCAGTTGTCTACATTCCATACAGACCAGATTACTTTAATTCTGTCAAATACATCCCAAGTATTGTTTGTAGATTATTCAGGCAAATTAGGTTAATTCGGCAGTAGAGATGCAGCGATTATAGATTTTGGTTGTGCGATTATAGTCTGGGGAATAATCACGGTTTCACTGTAATTATGCATTTATTAATTTCAAAACGCTACTAGTTTAGAAAATCATGAAAACAAACACTAGTCCATTTCTCTTAGGACTTAAAAAATAAGTGAAAAAAGTATTTGGAATTTAAACTTAAGTATTAATTTTACACTGAAAATAAGAGAGAAAAAAATATAAATAAATAAAAAAAAGAATAAATTAAAAACAATTGATTTATCTAATGTAAATCTAAGCATCATATCAGCTAATATTAGCATATTAATTCTATATTATATTTCAGCATATATTTAAAGAGAACAAATGTAGCTTTTGTCATGTGATTCGCGCTGCGCTTACCACATTTTTTCAACTAGGTGCACCTGAAAATCGTGAGCACGACGGCCCCTCCTGATTCAAGTTTGCCACGTGCGCGTTGCTCCCAATATGGGCACACAAGCTGCACGCCTCCTTTAAAATAACGAACTTGCGCATGCAAAAGATGTAATATGTGAACATCTTGTTAAGGCTGATTTATACTTCTGCGCCAAGTAATCAGCGCGACTAATGCCGAGTTCAGACTGCATGATTTTTAAAGTAGTCGTGTCACAGATGTTTTCACACTGCATGACTATCTGGGCTAGCGTTTCGTTGCTGCTTCGTTTACACTGCAAGATGGATCGGCGACAGGGACATTCACATTGCTTGATTTTACTATAGGAAGAATCGCCGACAACTTTGTCCAAACTACGTCTCACAGCCAAAAACACGTAGTATATCTTTTGTCATTAACTACATAATGAGAAAGAAGCCTTTAATGGGGTAGAACATGTACATGTTTGCTCACCTGGGTTTAAAGGGAATTAGCCATTTCTCCTCAACGTTGATAATAAACTAATTTTTTTCTGTATGAACAGTCAAACAGACACGGTTGCTCCTGAGTCCTGTCAAACCTCCACTAGTTTTTCCTCCATTTCGTGGGTCCAAATAAACCGAAAAAGAGCGCTTTTACCTTCTCCCCCAGCCTCCCGCTGGCCTGCAGCAGCTATACACACACACACACACACACACGTGAAAGCTGCTCTCTCATTGGCTGTAGGCGATCGCTGATGTTATTTTCAGTCAAAACTCAATTCACACGGCATGATTTGAATCGCCGACAGCTCCAGATATTCAGCACGCCAAATATCTCGCAGGCATCGGCGACTCATCGGCGATTCTCTCAGATCGCGTCTATAAAAGTTAATACTATGTGATTGTCACTCACGTGCACGAGCAGCGATTTGCCTGTGATTTCAGGCATTTGTCTGCGATTTCTCAAAACCTGTCGGCGAGCCAAAATCGGGGCTAAAATCACGCAGTCTGAACTAGGCATAACGGCACCTGCCTTGCGTATAACCGTGTATTTATACTTCTGCATGTTATTTTTGTTGCTTTGCAATAACACCTCCGAAATGCTAGCTGGCGGTAGGTTATGTTCCTCTGTGTCAAGTTTCTTCAAGGGTGTTTTGTTTTTCCTGAACGCTAATTCAAAGGGCCATGAAACCCCCTCGTTTCAGCAGGGTGTTTTCACACCTCTACTTTGGAAAAAGTAAGAAAAGTGGGCGTGTCCAGCTTTGTTTAGGGGGGAGTAAAAGTGGAGGATGGAACGGAGGAACTAAAGTGGGATGGTGTGGGAGTGTCTATTTGTGCACGCGCGAGTTTCAGTCAAAATACACACACATGAGAAAGTGATGGTGTTTAACCTACATGGACATCTGTAGTCGAATTATTTGCCAAATTATTAAATGGTGGACTTTAACAGCAGTTTGGCTCTTTCATTCAGGGAATTCATTCATGCCTCTCGCGACAAACGCAATATTTGATTCGAGGAGCTGCTCTAAGCGTGTATTTTTCATGCAATGTTTGATACCGCACGGCGAATGAGAGAAAAAAAAACTCTGCATTTCCCGGAAACTTAGATGCACACTGCAGGTAGCGTCAGAAAGCCGCGTGTGTTATTCCGGTCACAAAATGCGGTGCTATGTTTGCACTCGGTGCAATAGTTAACTTAGTTTGATACGAGCAAACTGAATAAACAAAGAGCACTGATCGCTCACTTACCAAATCTGTAGAGACAGGACAATCACCAGCAACTAGAGCCACGTCTTTATGAAGAGAAGACTACAAGCGAATCCGGATCTCAGCGTTTGCAGATGAGAACAGCTCTCAGGTAAACAATAATCCTCCTTAGACACGTAAGTTATTGTTGTCGAGCGTCGCGTACACTGTTAATCCACACGTGAACCAGCTGATCTCTCACAGAGAGAAAATGAAAACGAAACTTAACGGCAGCAAACTATAAAAGCAACACTTCACGCTTGTTTTGCCAACACAGCATGGCGTCTCTGTGGCGTTAACACGGTGACGCTAATGAATATTAATGAAGTTGCACAATAGAGCGCGCTGATTGGTTTGACCCAAGCCTTACTCATGCATTAATGCAGCACACTGTAAGACGTAATAAGACTCACTCTGGCACAGACGTCCAGTCTGCACGCTGGAATACACGCTATTATGTCATGACCGTGACGCAGCTTCAAAAATTTGTTTCAAACAGGAAGTATGAATTTGCTTGAAATAACGCAAAAACGACCAATTTACACTTTTTAGTGAAATATAGGTGTCCTAATAGTGTTTTTAGCAGTGTGGGACACATATACGACTGTCAACAGCTCAAAAAATGTGTTTTGGTGTTTCGTGACCCTTTAATGTACAAGAAGCTAAAACTAGCTCATTTACAGGCGGGAACCGGCGGACGTGCAACAATTTTAATCATAAGTTAAACACAATATAAAAGTTTCCATCTGGAGCTCCTTCACAGGACTCCACACTTGTAAACTCTCGCTCCAACAGGTTGGTGTGGCTCTCGGCACCACCCTCAATCGTCAGCACTACCAAGCTGACCAAACACAGAGCTTGTGCTACTTGTTGTTGCTACATATAGTTACAATTTGTGTCAACCGAATATATTCAGCCACAGCGAGAGCCGAACATATTTGAAACCATATTAATTTCCCAGCAGGGCTAATCACTTTGCATTCAATGTACATGCAGTCACAGTCGTGGCTAACTGTGAATATTACTGCACACATCAGGTAATAATCATCAGCACACCTCTTTACTCTTGGCCACCTCAGCAATAGCAGCGGTTCTCTGTTTCTCAAACTCATCGTTGTCGTCTGCTGATTTGACGGCGTTCGTGCTCTGAAGCGTCTTCCTCTGATCCAGAGCTCTGCTGTCCACCTGCTCCTTATGAACACATTTCTACAGAGACAACACAACACGTTTTACACCATCTGTGCAGAGCAAATCAATCGAATGAAACAGATGAGTGCTGCTAACCTGTCCGAAGGGAACGAACGGAGGAGGTCCACCTTCAGCTCCAATGTTTCTCCGGCTGTGTTTGGCGAGGCTCTTTAAAAATTATAAATAAATAAAAAGTTGAATTTGAAGGAAGTTGAAGTCTGGAAGAGTGTTATATTAGTTTAAAAGTAACATATAACAGTAACAATAACAGTTTATTTACATTTTCAGTTTAGTTAAAGCTAATAATTTTGTATTTAATTAATATATTTAATATTTAATTTGTAATACATCTGTTTAAACCCAAAAGCAGAAACACACTGTGCTTGTAATGTGTATTTATTTCATTTCATTTCTATTTTAGTGCATTCAAGTCAAACCAGAATAAAAGAAGAATTTTTCCTTTTGCTCAATGGTTTAGTTTTTTTGTATTTAGTAATCTTATTTCATATTTTATATATCAAGTTAAACCAAAATAAAAACAGAAATGATGCCGTGGGAACTGAAATGCATAATAATAATAATAATCGTAGTAATAATAATGATAATAATAATAATAATAGTAATAACAATAATAATAATAATGATAGTAGTAATAATAATAATAATAATAATAATCGTAGTAGTAATAATAATAATAATAATGATAATGATAATAATAATAATAATAATAATAATCGTAGTAATAATAATAATAATAATAATCGTAGTAATAATAATATTAATATTAATAATAATAATAATAATAGTAATAATAATAATAGTAATAATAATAATGATAATAATAATAATAAAAAGAAGCTTTGAAATTACTAAAATTTATTCAACTATATTTTTGTTATTTGAAATAAACGTGTGAAAAAATAACATGAAAACAAATATTTCAGTTGCTAACACAGCATTCCTACTATAATATTTTGGTTTAATTTGATTACGAAAACAAACAAAAAATTTTTAATGAATAATAATAAGCAAACAAATAAATAAAATGAATGAATAAAATTAGTTAATAATAAAAAAGAAACTTTGAAACCACCAAAACATCAGTATATCAAATTACATAAACAATTGTGATATTGTGATATTTGCATTTTTGTTGTGATTTATTATTTTATTTCATGATTAGTACAGTAGTATGTTAAGCTAAAATTAAATGCGTTTGCGATACCAAACAATTATATTATTATTATTCACTGTAATTTTAGCATTTTCATTATGATTTATTATTTTGTTTCAAGATTACTATAGTATTAAGTGAAGCTGAAATAAACAAATTTTTTTTTATGGTAATTCCAAACATTTCTTTTATAACTATTATTATTAAATAACTTTAAGTACACCAAATTAAACCAAAATAATTTTAGTTTTTAAGATTATTTCAGCAATTTAAACTGAAAAAAAACTTTTATCCTATTATTATTATTATTATTATTATTATTATTAAATAAATTATTTTGGTAAATTCCACAAAGATTAGTAAAGTAGTAAGTTAAACTGAAATAATAAAACAAATTGTGTTTTGGTTATTCCAAACATTTCTTATATTATTATTATTATTATGTAATAATTTTATATCAGTTTGGCACATTAAATTATAGGCGAATTTAATTTTTAAATAAGATTAGTAAAGTAGTAAATCCAACTGAGAAAGAAAAATCACAACAACACTGAAAAAACTGGGGGAATCAGCAAAATTGTTGCAAACAATGTAAAGAAGTTAAATTTAAACAAACAGATTAAAATGTAGTAATGTTCAACTTTGTTTAAAATCAGCCCAAATAAATTGTTTACAACCACTTAACATTTATTTAGTAAATCCAAGGAAAAAAATTCTGTGAAGTTAATATTAATATTTAATATTTTTATTTTAGTTTTAGTAAATCAAGACCAAAAAACTATGCTTTGTGGGCAACTAACTTCTTATTTCCATGTTTAATTGCTTCTCAGTTAGCATGCATTTTATTTCAAATAACCAGAAATGTTTAATGGTTTCCGTTCTACTTCATAAACTTAATCCAGAGAAATCTGAAGTCATTTGCTCATCAGGATGAATAAAGCGATGCGTCTTCATGCTATCTGGCTTTGATTGATAATTAAAATAAATCATCTGTTGCCAATGTGTCATCCATCAGCGAGCTCAAGCATGATGAATATTAGCAGATGGTTCCAGGCACTCCTGTTTCTGCTTGACACTGTGGCTTCTGTTTCTGCAGTTTTAATGAACACAACCTTTAAAAGAGGTCACGTTTTACACTTTCACAGCTCTAATTTTTTTCCTCTGGAGCCCACTTAAAATGTTAGTCAAGTTTCTTGCAGATGAAAAACATTTATGATTTAGTTTGATTTAGCTGATTTTACACCCACTCAGAATTAAACTGACAGCTTGTGTGATGCTGTTTTAAAGATTCTGTATGTAAATGACCCCTGATGTGGTTGAATATTCATGTGATGATGTCAGGCAGCAAGGCAGGACAACTTAATAAACATTCATTGTGTTTTGGAACAAATGTGGACAATCATATGTAAATATATTATTCAATTAAATATTTGCTTATGTTTAAAAGCTAATATATATATATATATATATATATATATATATATATAAATAACCGGCCACTTTATTAGGTACAACTGCTCAACACAATAGACATGGTCAAGACGATCTGCTGCAGTTCAAAGCGAGCATCAGAATGGGGAAGAAAGGGGACTTAAGTGACTGAACATGGAATGATCATTGGTGCCAGAGGGGCTGATCGGAGTATTTCAGAAACTGATCTACTGGGATTTTCACGCTCAACCATCTCGAGGGTTTACAGAAAATGGTCTGAAAAAGAGGAAATATCCAGTGAGCGGCAGTTCTGTGGGCGCAAATGCCTTGTTGATGCCAGAGGAGAATGGCCAGACAGGTTCCAGCTGATAGAAAGGCAACAACAACTCAAATAAGCACTCGATACAACCGAGCTCTGCAGAAGAGCATCTCTGAACACACAACACGTCCAACCTTGAGGCGGATGGGCTACAGCAGCAGAAGAGCACACCGGGTGCCGCTCCTGTCAGCTAAGAACAGGAAACTGAGGCTACAATTCACACAGACTCACCAAAACTGGACAATAGAAGATTGGAGAAACGTTGCCTGCTCTGATGAGTCTCCATTTCTGCTGCCACATTCAGATGGTTGGTTCAGAATTTGGCATCAGCATGAAAGCATGGATCCATCCTGCCTTATATCAACAGTTCAGGCTGGCTGGTGATGGTGGTGTAATGGTGTGGGGGAGATATCTTGGCACACTTTTGGACTATTAGTTCCAATCGAGTGCCGTATCAACGCTTCAGCCTACCTTGAGTATTGTTGCTGACCATGTCCATCCCTTTATGACCACAGTGTCTCCATCTTCTGATGGCTATTTCCAGCAGGATAACACACCATGTCATAAAGCGTGAATCATCTCAGACTGATTTCTTGAACATGACAATGAGTTCACTGTACTCAAATGGCCTTCACAGTCACCAGAGCTCAATCCAATAGAGCACCTTTGGGATGTGGTGGAACGGGAGATTGGCATGATGGATGTGCAGCTGACAAATCTGCAGCAACTGTGTGAAGCTATCATGTCAATATGGAGCAAAATCTCTGAGGAATATTTCTAGTACCTTGTTGAATCTATGCCAAGAAGGATTGAGGCACTTCTGAAGGCAAAAGGGGTCCAACCCGATACTAGTAAGGTGTACCTAATAAAGTGGCCGGTCATTATGAGTGTGTATGTATGTATGTATGTATGTATGTATGTATGTATGTATGCATGTATGCATGTATGCATGTATGCATGTATATATATATGTGTGTGTGTGTGTGTGTGTGTGTATAAAATCTCTTTTTTATTTACATTTAATTTATTAATTAAATATAAAATGTAAATTATTTAGAATTTGATTTAAATATAACAGTACTTTTAGATAAGGGGGGGGGGGGTAACGCATATGTGAATCTTATAGAACGTCATAAAAAAAACAATACCTTACCACAATTTATAATCCTCCATTTAACAATCAAATTTGAGCCTTTTTTAAATGCAAACACAGACTTTTCATTCAAAACAGATCAACTTAATGGAGACAGAAATGGTTTAAATGAAGAAGAATGATTTTTTTTTAGGCCAAAATTATTTTAAGCATAAACTCACTAAATTGAGCCTATATTACAATGGATAGCTTACCAAAAAATGAAAATGTTCATTTACTTATTCTCAGACTAGGTTTCTTTTAAAGATTACAACAGAAAACACTCATTTTAAATGATGAGACTTTAATGCATTGCCAGGATCCACAGGTATTAATGTGGTTTTTGCTGTATATGATTTTTTTTACTGTAACTGTGTGCTGCACTGCATGTTATATATAAATCCACAAACACCAATTACATCTAAATTCCTAATTCTTCTTAAATATTCTAGTAAAGAAAAAAATCATCTTGAATGTCGTGTGAAGATATACATATATTTTGTGCTTGTGTAAACTATAACTTTAAAATTGTTGCAAAAAAAGACAAATATGGAAAGCAAATATCTCCTTTAAACAACATCAGAACATCACAATATATTGCAGAAAACAAGCACCTCACCCTCTGAAACTCCCATTTCTCGATCATGTGATCCACTTCCCCTCCAAGAACGGCGATCTTGGAATCGTCCAATAGCAGGATGCCATTTTTCACCTGAACCACCCCCAGGAGCTTCACTTTGGTTCCAGGTGGCGTGTTTAAACTGAAAGCGGAGCAGAAACCAAAGCGCATTAAGAGCAGCGGCAAACTAGTTGGTTCCCTTCAAGAAAACTGAGCTAAAAAAAAAAACAGTCGTACTGCACTTGATTTAAGTCGAGTAAACTCAAATGTCCTGAAGCTGGTTGCCTTCATTTTTTTACAGTGTATAATTGAGGGGGTGACAAAGTGGCTCAGTGGTCAGCACTGTGGCTTCACAGCAAGAAGGTCGCTGGTTCGAGTCCCGTTCTGGTCAGATGTCATGGAGTTTGCATGTTCTGTGTTGGCGTGGGTTTCCTCCACAGTCCAAACACATGCGCTTTAAGTGGATCGAATAAACTAAATTGGCCGTAGAGTATGTGTATGAAAGTGTTTATGGGTGTTTCCCAGTACTGAGTTGCAGCTGGAAGGGCATTCATTCTTTCATTTTTTTCTGCTTTGTCCCTTTATTAATCCGGGGTCGCCACAGCAGAATGAACCGACAACTTATCCAGCAAGTTTTTATGCAGCGGATGCCCTTCCAGCCACAACCCATCTCTGGGAAACATCCACACACACATTCACACACACTACGGACAATTTTAGAGTACCCAATTCACCTGTATGTGTTTGTACTGTGGGGGAAAGCGGAGTGCTGGAAGGGCATTCGCTGAGTAAAGCATATGCTGGATAAGTTGGTGGTTCATTCTGCTGTGGCGACCCCTGATGAATAAGGGACTAAGCTGAAGGAAAATGAATGAATGAATGAATAATTCAGACTCAAAATTAAAGTACATTGCAATGTGACTCTTGCGGGTGTGCACATTGCAATATGGATGCTAAAATTGTCAGGGTTCTGCCACTCTGGTCATGTAAATTCTTGTTTTGGTGGCAGAATCCGGACACTAGTCATGTCTAATCCTGTCCTGTTGTGCTCGGCTCGAGTTTTCTTGGGTCGAGCACTTGTTTCTGTCATTGTGTGTGTCTCCGTGTGTGCGCGCGCCTTCGTGATGCGGGTTTCGCGTGCCTCCGCCGCGCGCGCTCTTGTGTGTATGTTCGTCTGTCTGCAGCGTGGTGTTTCATTCGTCTCAATCTAGTTGGTTTCGGTTTTGGTCGGCGCTGGGATGAAGCATGCACGCTGCATGTGTGAGTGCACGGTGAGTGCTTTCATTCATCGTGTACTCGTGTCTTGCGTTCAGTCTTTTGTTGGTGTCGTGTCTAGCACGTGGTGTGTTTACATGCACCGCATGCTTGTATTGTCTTGAACACGCAGTTAGTGAGTTGCGTGTTCTAGTCTCGTTTTATGCTTGTGTTGTCTCTCTGTGTCATGCGCTCTCCCGTCTATTGTCTAGTCCCACCCTCCTTGTTAACTCATTATTAGTTTGTCATGTTCACCTGTTTGTGTCGATTTACTTTTGCTTTATAATCCCCTCATGTTTTCAGTCCTGTGCCAGTTGGTCGTCTACACATCCCCTGTGTTTCATGCTCCTGTCTTGTCTTGCCAGCTCAGCCTAGTCAAGTTTGTTTGTTCGAGTACTGTTTTCCCCCTTGGGGTAGTTTGCTTTGCCTTTTTGTTTAATTTATACTTTATTATTAATAAAACCCATATTATTTGTTTGCAACTGAGTCCTTGCGCCTTTTCCCCTCACCCGACCGTGACAAAATTGATATATCGTGCAGTCCTAATCTGTATCTATTTCCCATTTATTTTTACAAGCTGCTCAGTTGTAAATTTAGATTGTGTAAAAGTTTTAACATTCCTAAAATAAGCATCATTATTTTTGCATGTAAGTTGTGATTCTGGGATGAAATGTGACCCAGCATATTCTTAAGAGAGTTTTCCAGAGATTCACCCAAAAATAGGTCAGTTTTTCTTATTTGGTGCCTGTGAAGACTTTCCCCCCAAAAAGTTGAAATATTAAAATTCATAATTGCACTTCTCTGCTTTACTTGCTTCTATTTCCTGCTTGTCAATCAGTTTTCTTCCCTGCGATGTGTTTCAGCTTTATTAAGTGTGGGGCATTTGCTGTAAGTTGGGATTAAGAACTGGCTGTTTGACTTTAATTAAAGATTAAAGGGGGGGGAGAGGGGTGGGATGGACTGAGAGAGAGCGAGAAAGAGGAAGAAACTCTATTTTCCCCTCATAAACACTCTAATACCCCGAGGAGAGAAGTGGAGCAGCACATTTTCCAAAACGCAGGCTTATTTGGCCAAATGTGTCCCCCTGCCTGCACCCTGATCAAATGTTAATGCAAGTTCTGCAGTGCAGAAGAAGCTCCTGCTAAAAATACACCACACGCACACCTCCCTGCTCTCCTACACGCCAAATAAAGCCCAAGTTTCCCTGCTCTGCTCATTACTGGGGGCCAGTGAGTTTGACAGGACTGTGTGACGTGACTACAGCGCTGTTATAGACTTTCCTGACCAGTTCACGAGCTGGAGCTCAAAGAGATCCACACCAGCAGAAAGCACATCTCTGGAGGTGTCAGATGCTTCTGTTCTTTTAAACATCCCATTTCAACTTCAAGATGAAAAAAAAGTTTGAAATAAGTAATTTTATGGAATTTATTATTATTCTTTAATATTATTATGTAATTTAATTCATATTTCAATTACGTTCAAATATAAACATAAAAAATGCCAACCAAAATATTGAATAAAACATTCATCTATCTTCCTTCGGCTTAGTCCCTTATTTATCAAAGGCCACCACAGCGGAATGAACTGCCAACTATTCCGCCATATATTTAACACAGCGAATGCCTTTCCAGCTGCAACTCAGCACTGGGAATTATTAAAATAACTCAAACATAAAGTTACTTAAATTGAATTATTTTAAATATTGTTAAATTGATATTTTAGTGCATTACTAAAAAATAAATATTATGTGTAACTGAATGAGTGTCTCAATTGCAATCTAAACAATTAAAGGTAAACTAAAATAAATAATTGCATTCAATAACTGTATTCTCAATAAAATGCATGTTCGAAAATCCATAAATGTAACCTCGCTTTTGCAAGAGAATGAAAAACTGTCACTAAAGTAATTAAATATTCTATGCATTTTGCTTAAAGTATATAACTTGTATAATTATAAATGGTTTCAAATTAAAAACAGATTTTTGCATTTAGCATTCTATGCATTTGTAACAATAGCATGCATATAGCAAAAGAAAGTTACAATTTTATTCATTTTGTGCTTTAAGCATAAAAAAATACTAGATTTTAATTAAATTTTATAATATATATGTTCATTTACCAAGAAAAATAAGGATAATATGTAAATGAATTGAAAATATTATTTGGAATGTAAATAACTAAACTCAAACTATAAGATACGAGTTTCATGTATTCTCTGTGCCTGTATATTTACAGGATAATGAAAAATCGTCTATGTAATTTAAATGTTATGATTTAAAAGAAAATAATCTGAATAAAAATAATTCAATTTAATAATTCAATTTAATTATGCTTATTTGTGTTTTAAGCATAAAAGAATTGCTCTGTGTAATTCATAATGAAAATACCTAAAGTCAAACTATGATTAAGTGTCAACAATTGCATTATTATATATACAAGTTAAAATAACGCACGTTCTGTGCTTGCATTTTTGCAAATGAATGTAAGACTAACACTAAAATGTAAGTAACGCATTTAGATGCATTTGTAAGAATAGTGTGCATTAGGCAGAAAAAGTTATTATTTTATAAATTATTTTATTTTTAAATTTAAAAATTGCTCAATTTAAATCATATTTTTAATGTATACTGTTATGCATCCAGTCAAATGTCTACCATTATATGTAAATGAATAAGTATTTTATTTAAAACGTAAATACCTAAATTCAAACTGTAATTTATAAGTAGTACATATTCTCTTTGCGTGTATATTTGCAGGATAATGAACAATTGTCACCTATGTAATTTAAATATATCAGCATTTAGTAGAAAAAATAAGGATACAATTAATGTTCAATCAAAAACACAGACTTTTGCATCAAGCATTTTAATGCATTTAGAAGAATTTGCATGAATTGTATACATTTAGCAGAAAAAAAGCTTAATTATTTGTGTTTAATTTGTGCTTAAAGCATAAAAAATGCTTGGGGTTATTCATAATGAAAATACCCAAAGTTAAACTACAGTTTTTAAGTGTGCAATGCCATCATACCTACAATAATATAATAATGTTATATGTTATAATGTTCATAGTACATCCATCTGTAAATATCACCATAGTTTTCTATAACTGCACTTTATAACTTATTCCTGTATCCTGAACTTGCTATTGCACTGCTGGTTAGACCTAAACTGCATTTCGTTGCATTGTACTTGTACATGTGTAATGACAATAAAGTTGAATCTAATCTAATCTAATAATACACATGTCCTGTGCTTGTAATTTAACAAATTAATTTAAGACTGAGACCAAATTATTTTATGCATTTGGTAGAAATGTTAAGACTTAAATGTGCAACCAAAAATGTAAATATCTGTATTATGCATTAAACAGAAAAAAGCCAAAACAGTTCATTAATTTTAAATTGCAAATAAATTTTCCTTATTAAAAATATAAATGTCTATTTGGGACTTGTAGAGCTGCGCTTTGATGGATTTGCTCTTCAGTGTTTGGACTTTCAGCAGTGGAAATTAAACCACACTGAACTGAACTTAAACACTGAAAGCTGAACTGGCACAGTTTACTTTTACTAGAACTTCTGTGTTCAGCTGCTTTGACACAATCTACATTGTAAAAGTGCAATAGAAATAAAGATTCATTGAATTGAATTGTATTTTAAAGAACCAAAGTCAAACTACAAGTGTGCAGCACATTGATGCAGATGTTGCAATAATGCATGTCGGCTCTGTGTTCATGATTCTGCAACTGAATGAAGGACTCTCGGCCTTCGAACGAACAGTGGAGAGTTTGATTCTACATCTAGAGCGAGAGACTGAGCGGAGGAACAGATGAATAAAGAGAGCTCTGTTCTTCAAACGGCACCACAACACAATCTCCACCTGTAGCTGC